TTGAAAATTAAAGGGGAAGAAGATGAATACCTTTAACTGACTCAAGATCTCAAAACGTTTTCTTCTAAAAATAATAGCAAAATAAATAGCTGAATAGATATGTTAGCAAGTCATGGGCGAGATGAACGAAACTTCTGTTTAGGGATTAAATTACTACCGACAAGAATGTGTATTTTTTTAACGCTAAAACCATAGTTACATGTATGCTTCACCAAATATCGCGAATGCAATCCACTTTGCTGATAAAAGTTCTTTCTTACAAGTTCATGGTCTTCGTTAACATGATCAAATAAGTAAGCGAATTCTCTTTACTCTAACAGACCAAGATGCTAAATATTAAAATTCTTCTGATCATTAAAAGCCAATTCCACCAAATGTATTAAAATCGACAGTACATGCATGGGAAGAAATCAAAGAAGGACAAGAAACGATCCGTACCTTGAGAAGTTGAAGGAGTATTTGATATGGCTAATTGTGTCAAATCCGGAAAATGCCTCGTGAGAAAATACAACAGTTTATGCAAGTTCTTCTGTTTGCAAGTCTGCTTTTAGCATAACAAAAGAGTCACTCAATCACAGATGTCTCATAAGCTGTAAGGAAATCAAATGCGACATTGTAATTATGGAAAATTTTGACAATAATTCTAATAAAACTTTAGTAAAATGTCAAATTATAATATTTGTCGAGGGATAACCATCTACTATTACAGAACACCTACCTAAAAAAAATATTACAAAACCTAAGAATAATTTAAAAATTAGCTGGTCTATTTACAAAAATTTGAAATTTTCATACGTAATATTAATTGCAATAACTAATCTTACGCCCACAACATCGCAATTGTAATTGGAAACTCACTTGAAAATTATGAAAGAGGTACAGTTAAACCCCGTTACCTTGAACTCTTAGGGGAAACGAAAAATAATTCGAGATGTCGGGGGCTCGACAGTGATTAAAAAGCTAAATCCAAGGGAAAGATTTTTATGTTATTGACTTCTTTAGTTTCAACACGACCGCGAATTGCTACGAAGGACAGCCAAATCTGCGAATGTACCAAAACTGTGGATATTACCTGGTACACTGAAGAACTGAAAGAGAAATTACACATAAAATTCAGTGAGCCTCACGCTACGCTTAGTAGTGATCTAACTTAGCATCTCAAGCAACCTGTCAACTCTCACTTGTCAAAAAGGGAGTAATTTAGAATCAGTTTTGTTCACCACCAGGTCATTTCCTCCCCCAAAATTGAGAAAACAATCACGTCCATGCGGTTTTCAGGAAAGATGAATGAAATTCGGTTCAAGAAACTGAAGTTTGTCTAAAACTTAACAAAGTTTGTTAGGTTTTGTGTTAGGCCTTTCCTAAAGATTTCATCTAACTTAAACACCAAACGTTTATTCAGCGTCTAATTATAAAGTTGAGATGACTCTCAAATATGCCAAAATACGATCCCTGGAACATTGCTATTCCACTGGATATTTTTTTAATATATTGCAAAAGCATTGCGGGTGGTGGTGAAATAAAATGGACTCTACTGTTAATGCTGTTTCTGTCAGTTATATCTTGCTCGTAGCTGGTCCAATTCAATACCAAGTTAATGGCACTAGTTATTTTTTTCAAGTCGTGGTTTTGAAAGGTGGTAAACATATCAAATACACTCTTTTTCTCTCTAAGAATATATGTTATGAGGATGTCAAGGCTGAAATTTGGGAGATTTTAAGAATATTTTAAAAATGTAATTAACCCAAGGCTGAGATTTTGAAAATAATATAATTTTGCGCTTGAAAATTTGTAAATACAATACAATTATAGGTTTTTGACTAAACTGTATAAAATTATTCCTTTCTCTAAACGGCAAAACTAGCCAAAAAACAACAAAAACAGCACTGACATGATATTCGATGGGAATATAACATTTCTCCAAGAAGTTATGTGTGTCATATCAGACTTTATTATATGGCTGTGTCTCACAAGGACTGGGAACTACCGAATTCACGAATTTGATTGGCTGAAATCGACATTGACCGCGGTCTAGGTTTTCCCATCTAGACCGGCACCTAGACCGATTTCATTTCGCGTTAAAAAAGTAGCAAACTAAAATACAAAAATGTGAACTATTTTCTTTTATTTTCTCCTCAACCATTTATGGAAGTGCCAAAAAGCCTGATGACAGAAAAAAAAAAATAGTAAAGAGAACGAGCAAATTTCGGCAGGTTTAAGTTAAGTTCATCGCCGTTCGCAAGCAAAATGTCAGCAAACCAGTTACATTAAACGAATTAAAGTTTTTTTCTTTGCCATATAATAAACATCTTATTAACCGAGCCAAGTCGGTCTGTATGGGAGAATCTTGACCTCGGTCAAGATTCTCCCATACAGACCTCCAGCTCGGTTAATAAGAGCTAATTATTGCCTGCAGTCTGGCTCCAAAACTACTTCAAAGCCATCAAAGTCATGATAGGTTATAATCTAGGAATGTTCACAAGAATAATTCAGCCTAAAATAAGGATATTCAGTCTGGGTCGGAAAAACAACATTCTTATACAAAAAAATAGTGTAAACAAGCTAGGTTGTGACTTTTTTTGATCGATGAAGAAAAAGTATTTAATTTATTTCAGAAACAACCAGTGTCTGGAATTCAAGTTTGGGAATCCGATTTGTTCAATGCCCCAAATCCACGTTCGCTTGGGACAAATTTGATTTCTCACAAGTCACTAACCTTCAATGAGTTGAAACTGGTAAAGTAAAAGTTAATTTCCCTTCAAATTCAATGAAAGATACAGGAAATTTTCCCCTAACTGTATTTATCACTGTTGCCCCGGAGGAATTCAACCCAACACAAAAGTAGTTGAGACGGAGGACCATCAATATAGAACTAATTACAGTGAGCTTTGAATGCAACTTAGCAAGCGTCCTGGTACCCCGCTGTCCCATCAACTGGTGTTAGAATTTTATAATATTGTCGGTATTACGTTACGTTTATGTAAATTTAGCATTGAACGAGAAAAGGGAAGGAAAGAGCAAAACTGCTTAACTCCACGACATATTAAATACTTTGTCACGGGTTCTAATTCGACGGGTGAATTTTCCTTTTTTCTTAAATTTAAAAAAATTGAAATGAAACCAAAGTTTTATCCAGTTTAGTAAAAGGCTTTTTGGGTGAACCCCACCGTGTTGGCGAATTTTAAGGTTTTATAATGTTTTCAGCCGTTCGCTCTCAATATTCCAAGAATTGTATGGCATGAACGCGATTTTCGATTACCAAATAATCACCGTACCTACAAATCGAGGCTAGGCCATCCTTGAATCATATTCACGGTCTTTGCAAACAGTATCGAAAAGTATACATGTAGGTAAACAGAGACTACATGTCTGGGTTTTTATCGCCGTAAAACTTGATAAATGAAAATAATACGTTTTATTGCGCAAATGACTAAGTACTCGTGGCTTGGTCCCTCTGATTCCTATTGTTTTTAGAAAACTCTAAAGTGTCTCATGCTTCGAGTAATAACGCTGGCTTTATCTTTCCTGACCAGCAAGAAATATTTTTATTGTAGAACCAAGTATGTATTTAGGTTTCTGGCACATTGACGCCATTGTTAAACACTTCTGATCAGCTGTACTTTTGAGAATATTCATTCAAACAAAATCACACATTGATTTACGAGCGCAGTCTAATTGTTTCTCAAGGACTATCTTCAAAAGCGCTTCGCAAACCAAAACAAAAAAAATTGAAACGTTCGTCAAAAGATTTTTCTTCTCTTTTATTCTTTGATTAATAAAAAGATATTCTCAGGACGTAAAACAACGAAGCAAATGGCTGTGACGTCACCTGATCGAAGTTAGAAATTAAAAAAAAATCACGTGGGCACTAAGTGGCTTCAAATCAAGACTAGCAATAAAAGAAAACATTTTGATGACTTTAAAAGCGTAGTGAGCCTTATCCGCTGAGATAAACATGAGAGTAGGCGGAATTCATAAACATTCAAGGTCCATTGCACCAATTCCAGAGGCTACACATTTAAGACCAAAAAAAAAACCCACCAACCTTGAACTTTGTTTATGAATTACTCAATATTGTAATTTGAATTTGAGACCACGGAATCTTGAGAAAACCTTTCCATGTGTAAATGCGAAAAATTGGCACAATTTTGCGACTGTTACAGCAGTGCCATTAATTGTTTTAACCAATTCAGGTTGAAATCAGTTTTTGCAAGGAAAAGCAAGCTTTGCCTTCAGAAAATCTGCCCATAGTCACTTCTAGATTACTAAATTGCTTCCAGATACTCATAATAGACTGTGCGGCGCCCCAATGTTTATTAAATATTACCTTAAAGACTTCTTTCGCAAACACAATATGGCCTGTTTATTTCCCATGCCTTTCTGTATGAAGTTGTTGTCAATCAAGGCAGTTTTCGTCAAGATTTACCTATATACAGACAAGTTCTGCTCATGAGGAGCCCGACTTCGTGCATGTGAAGACAACTAAAACGAACAAATATCCACCTCTTTCAGCACAATTCAAATGCCTTGTAATTGGGTCATAGGTAAAGCTCGTTGAAGTCTTCACCTTAAATGCTCACTTGCACTTATGCTAAAAACCTGAGCTAAATTACGGCAAAGTTAATACATTGATAATTTGAAAGTGAAGAATGATCATCGCAGTAAATTTTCCAATTTAAGCAATTGGAAAGAAGAGGTCCGCGAATACCTCCGCGAATACCGGTGCGATGCTCTACCAACTGAGCTATGAAGCCACACATTGAAAGCGAGGTCAATTAATTGAGTTCACATCTTCCCGTGAGGAGTGAAATGATGTGAAAGGAGTGAAATAATTCATATTTGAACTGCGGTTGTAGATGAAAGAATGATCATCGCAGTAAATTTTCCAATTTAAAACATTCCACATATTGAATTATATTTCATTGAGCCAGACGGAACTCGTAACCAGATTTTAGACGCAAGCAAATACTGAATACCCAATCAAAACGAGACGAACTCACCTGAGAGCTCTAACGAAGAGAATAACTGTAAAATTATTTTAAAACCATAAAATGCACATCAGAATTAAGCTGTGCTGTTGTGATGGGAGATTTGACTTAACAACTTGTGAACATTCCTCAGCGCTGACCAAGACTTTGGACTGTCTGAAAACAAGCGATACCTTCCGAAACTGTTAGCACAAGTTAACAAGGAAAGCTTCTTCTTCGTGTGAAAAGTTGCACGTAAGCCATGTTTGGGTTTTCACACTTATTTTGAGGGCACAGGCGAAAAACAAAGAAAGAACCCATACGACTGCAAGTTGTTGACGTGCGGGTGGCGTAGATGTCAAGTTCGAACAATCCAGTTTGTCAGGAATTGAAATTACACGTAATGTAATTTGACAACCATCTAAAAACAGCCAATCGGAAACTGGAATAATTTATTTGGCTGTGCTCCAACTTCGACACAAAACGTTTATTCATGATTAGTGTCTAATAATAAAGTTGGCATGAATATTGGCTGAGCCTCAAATATGACAAAATGCAATCCGTGGAACATTGTTATCTCACTGGATTTTTTAAAGATTTATTGCAAAGCACTGTTGGTAATGGTGAACTAAAATGGACTCTACTGAGAATGCTGTCTCGGTCGGTCGGTTACTACTTGCTTGTGGAATTGTATCAATTCAATAGCAAATTGCGTCAGTTAGTTTTTTGCTCAAGCGATGCTTTTGAAAGGTGGTACACGTATCAAAAACACTATGTTATAAGGATATCGAGGCTGAAATTTGCGAAATTTTAAGAATTGACCCGAGGCTGAGATTTTGAAAAGAATGTAATTTTGCCTGTGTAAAATTTGTAACTACAATACAATTCTGTCTTTAACTAAATCGTATAGAATTCTTCCTTTCTCTAAACGGCAAAATAGACCAAAAAACAACAAAACAGCACTGGCAAAATGTTCGACGCTAATAACATTTCTGCAAGAAGTTATGTGCGTCATATCAGGCTTTATCGCCTGCAGTCTGACTTCAAACTTATTCAACGCCATCAAAGTCAATAAAGCAGAAATGTCATACGTTATAATCTAAAAAAATTCACAAAGATATATTAAGCCTAAAATCAGTAGAAAAATAAGAATATTCAGCTTGCGCCGGAAAGCAATATTCTTATATAAAAAAGAGTGTAAATTGGGTTGTAACTTTTCTTGATCGATCAAGCATAAAAAGCATTATATTTTATTTGAAACAACAAATGTTGCAGAGTCACAGATTCGAATCAAGTTAGGAAATCTGATTTGTTCAATGCCCCACGATCGCGTGGGGCAAATTTTAATTATTCGCAAGTCACTAACCCTCAATGATTTGACACTGGTAGGGTAAAAGCTAATTTCCCTTCAAGTTAGAAGAAGGGTACAGGAAAAATTGTATTTATCGTTGCTGCCGCGGAGGACTTGAACCCAACACAGAAGTAGTTGAGCAGGAGGGACATCAAAATAAAACTAATTACAGTGAGTATTGAATACAACTTAGCAAACGCCATGGTGCCCCGCTCCCTGTCAACTGGTGTTGGAACTTTACAATGTTGTCGGTATTACGTAATGTTTATGGAAATTCTGCATTGAAGGGGAAACGAGAAACTGCTTACCTCCCAGGCACATTAAATACGTTGTCTCGGGCTATAATTCGAAGAGTGAAGTTTCAGTTTTTCTTAGCTTGAAAAAAATTAAAATGAATTCAAAGTTTTTTTATCTAGTTTGGAAAAAAGGTTTGTTTGGGCCCTTCCCATTACGCTGATGGAATTTGAAAAAAAGGAGGTTTCACTCTGAAAAGGCATCCAATGCTTTCCGTCTACACTTCGCCGGAGGAATTTAAAACACAAAAATCACGTACCGCCCACTTTGGATTTGGTTTTGAGGAAAACTTGGTTAGGGAAATCACATCGTTTTCGAAAAGCTCCGTTTTCAAAATGGTTGCCAGTTATGAAGACCGTTTTCGAAAAGCTCCGTTTTCGTGATGGATTAGTGTGGACAGTAGGCCCAACCGTAAAAATAAAGCTGCGTTTTAAAACTTCTCCGGCATAGAGTGAACGTGGCCTCAACATTCCCTGAATTGTATTGTACGACGCGATCACGAGCTCCGATTACTGAATNACCTCGGTCAAGATTCTCCCATACAGACCTCCAGCTCGGTTAATAAGAGCTAATTATTGCCTGCAGTCTGGCTCCAAAACTACTTCAAAGCCATCAAAGTCATGATAGGTTATAATCTAGGAATGTTCACAAGAATAATTCAGCCTAAAATAAGGATATTCAGTCTGGGTCGGAAAAACAACATTCTTATACAAAAAAATAGTGTAAACAAGCTAGGTTGTGACTTTTTTTGATCGATGAAGAAAAAGTATTTAATTTATTTCAGAAACAACCAGTGTCTGGAATTCAAGTTTGGGAATCCGATTTGTTCAATGCCCCAAATCCACGTTCGCTTGGGACAAATTTGATTTCTCACAAGTCACTAACCTTCAATGAGTTGAAACTGGTAAAGTAAAAGTTAATTTCCCTTCAAATTCAATGAAAGATACAGGAAATTTTCCCCTAACTGTATTTATCACTGTTGCCCCGGAGGAATTCAACCCAACACAAAAGTAGTTGAGACGGAGGACCATCAATATAGAACTAATTACAGTGAGCTTTGAATGCAACTTAGCAAGCGTCCTGGTACCCCGCTGTCCCATCAACTGGTGTTAGAATTTTATAATATTGTCGGTATTACGTTACGTTTATGTAAATTTAGCATTGAACGAGAAAAGGGAAGGAAAGAGCAAAACTGCTTAACTCCACGACATATTAAATACTTTGTCACGGGTTCTAATTCGACGGGTGAATTTTCCTTTTTTCTTAAATTTAAAAAAATTGAAATGAAACCAAAGTTTTATCCAGTTTAGTAAAAGGCTTTTTGGGTGAACCCCACCGTGTTGGCGAATTTTAAGGTTTTATAATGTTTTCAGCCGTTCGCTCTCAATATTCCAAGAATTGTATGGCATGAACGCGATTTTCGATTACCAAATAATCACCGTACCTACAAATCGAGGCTAGGCCATCCTTGAATCATATTCACGGTCTTTGCAAACAGTATCGAAAAGTATACATGTAGGTAAACAGAGACTACATGTCTGGGTTTTTATCGCCGTAAAACTTGATAAATGAAAATAATACGTTTTATTGCGCAAATGACTAAGTACTCGTGGCTTGGTCCCTCTGATTCCTATTGTTTTTAGAAAACTCTAAAGTGTCTCATGCTTCGAGTAATAACGCTGGCTTTATCTTTCCTGACCAGCAAGAAATATTTTTATTGTAGAACCAAGTATGTATTTAGGTTTCTGGCACATTGACGCCATTGTTAAACACTTCTGATCAGCTGTACTTTTGAGAATATTCATTCAAACAAAATCACACATTGATTTACGAGCGCAGTCTAATTGTTTCTCAAGGACTATCTTCAAAAGCGCTTCGCAAACCAAAACAAAAAAAATTGAAACGTTCGTCAAAAGATTTTTCTTCTCTTTTATTCTTTGATTAATAAAAAGATATTCTCAGGACGTAAAACAACGAAGCAAATGGCTGTGACGTCACCTGATCGAAGTTAGAAATTAAAAAAAAATCACGTGGGCACTAAGTGGCTTCAAATCAAGACTAGCAATAAAAGAAAACATTTTGATGACTTTAAAAGCGTAGTGAGCCTTATCCGCTGAGATAAACATGAGAGTAGGCGGAATTCATAAACATTCAAGGTCCATTGCACCAATTCCAGAGGCTACACATTTAAGACCAAAAAAAAAACCCACCAACCTTGAACTTTGTTTATGAATTACTCAATATTGTAATTTGAATTTGAGACCACGGAATCTTGAGAAAACCTTTCCATGTGTAAATGCGAAAAATTGGCACAATTTTGCGACTGTTACAGCAGTGCCATTAATTGTTTTAACCAATTCAGGTTGAAATCAGTTTTTGCAAGGAAAAGCAAGCTTTGCCTTCAGAAAATCTGCCCATAGTCACTTCTAGATTACTAAATTGCTTCCAGATACTCATAATAGACTGTGCGGCGCCCCAATGTTTATTAAATATTACCTTAAAGACTTCTTTCGCAAACACAATATGGCCTGTTTATTTCCCATGCCTTTCTGTATGAAGTTGTTGTCAATCAAGGCAGTTTTCGTCAAGATTTACCTATATACAGACAAGTTCTGCTCATGAGGAGCCCGACTTCGTGCATGTGAAGACAACTAAAACGAACAAATATCCACCTCTTTCAGCACAATTCAAATGCCTTGTAATTGGGTCATAGGTAAAGCTCGTTGAAGTCTTCACCTTAAATGCTCACTTGCACTTATGCTAAAAACCTGAGCTAAATTACGGCAAAGTTAATACATTGATAATTTGAAAGTGAAGAATGATCATCGCAGTAAATTTTCCAATTTAAGCAATTGGAAAGAAGAGGTCCGCGAATACCTCCGCGAATACCGGTGCGATGCTCTACCAACTGAGCTATGAAGCCACACATTGAAAGCGAGGTCAATTAATTGAGTTCACATCTTCCCGTGAGGAGTGAAATGATGTGAAAGGAGTGAAATAATTCATATTTGAACTGCGGTTGTAGATGAAAGAATGATCATCGCAGTAAATTTTCCAATTTAAAACATTCCACATATTGAATTATATTTCATTGAGCCAGACGGAACTCGTAACCAGATTTTAGACGCAAGCAAATACTGAATACCCAATCAAAACGAGACGAACTCACCTGAGAGCTCTAACGAAGAGAATAACTGTAAAATTATTTTAAAACCATAAAATGCACATCAGAATTAAGCTGTGCTGTTGTGATGGGAGATTTGACTTAACAACTTGTGAACATTCCTCAGCGCTGACCAAGACTTTGGACTGTCTGAAAACAAGCGATACCTTCCGAAACTGTTAGCACAAGTTAACAAGGAAAGCTTCTTCTTCGTGTGAAAAGTTGCACGTAAGCCATGTTTGGGTTTTCACACTTATTTTGAGGGCACAGGCGAAAAACAAAGAAAGAACCCATACGACTGCAAGTTGTTGACGTGCGGGTGGCGTAGATGTCAAGTTCGAACAATCCAGTTTGTCAGGAATTGAAATTACACGTAATGTAATTTGACAACCATCTAAAAACAGCCAATCGGAAACTGGAATAATTTATTTGGCTGTGCTCCAACTTCGACACAAAACGTTTATTCATGATTAGTGTCTAATAATAAAGTTGGCATGAATATTGGCTGAGCCTCAAATATGACAAAATGCAATCCGTGGAACATTGTTATCTCACTGGATTTTTTAAAGATTTATTGCAAAGCACTGTTGGTAATGGTGAACTAAAATGGACTCTACTGAGAATGCTGTCTCGGTCGGTCGGTTACTACTTGCTTGTGGAATTGTATCAATTCAATAGCAAATTGCGTC